CCAGGAGCCCTCAGGGGTGGGAGGTGACCAGTGATCCGAGGAAGCCAATTCCCCATTACACCACTGCTGCTGCCACTGCTGGCAGTGCAAACCTTGTCTGGCCCTGGTTACCTGAGCCTCAGGTGGCCGTGGTTGGCTGGGCAGCCACCATTGAGGCTTGCCTGCACCTTGGGCATCGGCTGGGCAGCTGCCAATCGAGGCTTTCCTGTGCCTCAGCCGGCCCTGGGAGGCTGGGGGTCTGAGGGGATTGGGGGACTCTGGAGGCAGGAGTGCAGAGCCCAACTGTGCTGTGTACCTGCTGCCCTGGCAGGGCTGAGGGGTGTGGGTGCTGCCATCTTGTGGCTATGGGTGCCACCCTCTTTGAGGGCATGACAGTCAATTAGTTTATCCCCTCCTTATTCGCTGTGGGCCATCTTTGTGAGGGTGAGGCAGTCAATTAGCATATTTCCCTTTATTAGATAGGATAGCCACATCCACTCATTTACATATTTTCTATGGTTGCTTTCATAGTACAATAACAGAAATGAATACTTGTGACATAGAATGTATGGCCTGCAGTACATGTAATATTTACTATCCAGCCCCTTACAGATAAGATGTAGTACAGTAAAACTATTAGATTAAAATAAAATAAAAAATTCAATGAACACCCAGGACAAATATGAAGTTACTTAATTAACAGGACAAATATGAAGTTACTTAATTTTGTAAGGTAAAACAATACTGTATGCCACTACTCAAGGGACTAACATAATTCATCTATTTAAGTTGATCAATTTTCAGCTAAATTGATCAACAAGTATAAGGGCCACATTCATACTGTTATTAACATGAGAGAGCTCAGAAAAAAAAAATTCCCATGAGCTCTTCCCAATAACAAGATTTAGACAAATAAGAAACGATTGGAGAAGCTTTAGGATGGAATATATGGTGAACTCTAAACATATTTAACAATAGCAATATGATTAAGTGATGGAGGAATACATTCAATATATGTAATTGTTATTTCCTCTGACAATGTAAATATAACTGTGAAAGAAGTGAGAGACGAACAAAGGGGGACTATAAGGAAAGCAGAACAAGTGTGCTGATAGTTACTAGCAGGTACTACAAGAACATTAAATTAGTTGAGGGAGAGAGAAGAAGGCAGAGTGGTGCCTGGCTGATTAAAATATTACTTAGAGTAAGAAAATGACAATATCTTTAAAAAGTGGGATACTTTTATTATATAAAGGTGAACATCTCATGTAAAAGATAAATTTTTAGAAAAATACACAAAACCTTTCAAAATAACAAAAGGGGTATTTAAAACAGAGAGAGGCAAAAAAATAAGAAATAAAAAATAAAATAAAGAGAACAGACTACATTCTAAAGGGAACACAAATGTCCATTAATAGAGGATTGGTTGAATCAATCATCATAAATCCACATGATGTAAAACTATGCAGCTTTAAAAAAAGAATGAGAAATCTCCTGCATATATTGTTCTGTAAGGTGTATACAACCCTACACGATACACAATGCAGAATAGTATGAAAAGTATGCTTTGTTGGTTCCTTCCCACAAAGATATGTGTTACTTACATTCAACAAATAAGATAAATATAAAATTAATAAAATGGTTACCTTTAAAGTTACCATATTTTTGTTTGGCTAGAACAGCCCTGTATACCAACCGAAGTGGAGGGGACTGCTTTTTGAGAAGGCATCTTAGTAGTACTCACTTCTGATGTTTATTAGACACTGAACTATGTAGAGCAGTGGTTCTCAACCTTTCTAATGCTGCGATCCTTTAATACAGTTCCTCATGTTGTGGTGACCCTAACCATAAAATTATTTTCGTTGCTACTTCATATCTGTAATTTTGCTACTACTCATGAATCATAATGTAAAGGTCTGTGTTTTCCAATGGTCTTCGGCAACCCTGCTAGTGGTTCTCAACCTATGGGTCATGAAATGGTTGAGAGCTTAAGACCATTAGAAAACACAGATATTTACATTACAATTCATGAACAGTAGCAAAATTACAGTTTTTGAAGTAGCAACGAAAATAACTTTATGGTTGGGGTCACCACAACATGAGGAACTATATTAAAGGGTCGTGGCATTAGAAAGGTTGAGAATCACTTATCTAGAGGGAGAGCAATAAATGAAAAATGTTAGATGCTGAACATAACAATGTGAAATATTACTATCTCCATTTTAGACAAAGAAATGTTTGCATCTTATGTTTACCTGTGAAACTATCTGTCTTCCTAATCATTACCTAATTTTTAAAAAAGAACCTATTATTTCTTACTGCCTTTAATGATTTCCACTCGAAGGGGTCAAACACAGCAGGCATCTTATAAAAAACGGGGCTCAGGAAATTCTTTAGGTGTTGACTCGCGATATATTCTACTTACATGGCTTCTAAAAACTCTGTCCTTTGGACTTCCCAGCTAGATTATCCTCTTGGCCTGAACCTCTCCCAAGTGCCATGTCTGGGTATTTTGAGGAGGTTTAAAAACAAAGACACTCACTTGGATTTGGAGTGACCTATCCAAGGTTACTTGTACAGGTCTGCAGCCAGCAGATATGTCAGACAAAGGACATCCCTTTTCCTTTGTTCTACCAGAGGGCCACTTTATCACTCCCTACCAGTCTGCATTCTCATGACAGCCTCCATTTTCTTTTATCTCAGTCCCTCTTTTCAATTATCATACTATAATTAGATAGAGCTGGGATCCTTTTATTTTCTCATATTTGCTATGTAGGCCTCACCTATTGATTCTGGGAAAAAACATCCTGGTCCGAACTCTGTTCCTAATGTCAAAGACTTAGGCTATCCCATTCCTTCCCGAAGGACACTCTCAAATACTTCATGATCACTGTGTATCCAAAACTCACAACCTCAAGGAAAGTCCTTCAGGGACAGATAGCTTATAAATGGGGATGGAGTTGCCATGGTTAGGCTCCTGCTTCTCTTCCTGACCAAGATTCCAACTGGGTATTTAGAGCAAGATGTAGTGGCCGAGTATGCTGTTAATCACTTACTAGTTTCTTGAATAAATTAAAAAACAACAACAAAAACCTGTGAACACATTTTAAAATATTTACTTCACTACAGGACTTCACAGAAATACTGGTATTGATTCTGGTGTCCCAACTGAAGTTTTCCATCGAAGGCAAAGAAAGCTGCTTTCTTTCCCTTAATTGGGCTATTTCTGCTGGCTGCTGACCAATTTTCCCCAAAATCAATTAATTAAACAACCACCAACATTTACCAAATGTATCAACTCTTGTAAGGAACTTGTTAATGAATATAGTGGCTAGGGATGCTGTTAGTCATCTACCATGCTCAGGACAGCCTCCTACAACTTAGAACTATTAATACCTGCCCCACATGTCAATAGTGCCAAAGTTGAGAAACTCTGAGTTAGAGTATCATTTGAATGTTATAACAAACAAAAAAAAATCTAAATTATAGTGATTCCAACAAGATAGAAGTGGATTCGTCTTTGTCTGGGGTAGAGAAGGTGGGTCTATAAGAATACTCAGGTTCCTTCCATATTGCTGTTCTGTGTTTCTCTATGATGTCCTTGTCAGTGGTGGAAACTGGCTTTCCAACCGTTCTCTAACATTCTGACTCAACAATGATACATTGCTAGGGCTGCCATGACCAAATATCACAGTCTGGCTGGCTTAAACAACGGGCATTTATTTTCTCACAGTTCTGGAGGCCAGAAGTCTGAGATCAAGGTGCCAGCGGGGTAGGTTTCTCCTGAGGCCTCTCTCCTTGGTTTGCAGACAGCTGCCTTTTCACTGTCTTTTTATATGACCTGATAAGTCTTTCTTTCTTTTAAGGAATTAAGGCCCTCCCTTATAACCTTACTTAATTTTAACTACATTTTTAAAGGCCCCATCTCCACTTATAGTCACATTGTGGTTAGGGCTTCAATATATTAATTTGGAGAAGATACAGTTCAGTCAATAGCACCATGAGAAAGGAGCAGAGAAATTACAGGGCAAACAATTTCATTATTTATGGGGTTTACCCAAAAGTTTCATAGATCATTTCTTCTCACATATCATAGACCCCAAACTTAGTCGTATGCCAAATCTAAATGCAAAGAAGGCTGAAAAATATATTCTCTAGCTTGACAGCCATGTGCCAGCTAAAACTCAGGGGTATATGTTTGCCTAAAGGAAACTATTAAAGAAAGAGATAAAACTGGAAAACAATGATGTGTTCTAATTTTTATTTAGCATTTCCCCCGACATAATGCCTTTTGGATTCACTCCTAACTACCAGGGCCCAGAGGATAATATCTATTCTCACTTAAGACTCAAGCACTGATGATACCATACGCATCCCTAGATCCTCTTACATTTAGAGGAGAATCATAAAACTTTAGCCTCAAGAAAATACTTAGTATTTTCCCACTGGCAGTTTATAGTTCAGGCAAATTTACTTTCACCCTCAGACAATGTGTGTCTCTTATTTTGTCTGTAGAATTGGAGAGAGTAGTGAGAAAAGCTCGGTGGTTGGGGAACTGAAAGAGAAGAATGCTTATCCTGATGGCTTTAAATTCACTTGCTTTTCTCCCAACACACACTTGGGTCTCTGTCCTTAATGACTGAGGTTGAGTTGTGGTTCTTAAAGGCATAAGACTTGGAAAACTATCTCTATTTAAAAGATCATCTGTTAATATACTAACAGCTATTATATCTACCATATACTTTTAAGAATGATATAAAATGAAGTCATATACTTCATTTTGACACATATTAATTTAATTTATATATTGACACTGAAGTTATAATTATCATGCTAAATTTTGGGGCTGCTAATGGCTAAAACAAGATTATTGTTCAGGTCATTTGTGGAACTTCTATAACAGACAGTATTTATGTGAAATACCATTAAGCCTTAATGGAAGTTATGGAGCAAAATTACTGAATTTGAAAGAATGTAACCTTTCACCACCGTCCAATGAGCCCCAAAGAAAGCCAACTCACCATTCTTCTTGTAGAACATAATTTCTCCTTTGAATTCCGTTTTCTCCTCTAGTGACTTGTCTATTTGAAGCATCAGTTGCTCATTGGTTTCAACCCCAAATAAGAATTTGCAGCTGCAACTCTTCTGCATGACTTCAGTTCGGGCAAATCCAGCAAGCTCACAAAAGCCATCAGAACAGTAGACTATGGGGAAACCCTTAGCCACCTGGGCATTCGCGAGGATGAAGTTGCTATCTGTAGAACAATAATGAGAAGATTTTCAGGTATTAAACAAACACACATAATTTAAAAAAAAATCAGTTTCAGTAACAACTTATAGGCACACGTTTTTAGCTAACAATGCTTAAAATGCATGTCCTGATGTGCTGAGGTGGAAAAGAGACTCTAAACATAGAATGTTACTGACTGGCAGAGTATGTATTACATTCTGACTTTGGCTTGCATTTTGAAATACTGTGGGGGGAGCACCGTACATGGCCTGCTTTGAGGCATTTAGTATCTAGTTCGAAGGAAGGTATGGTGCTTTTCTTCTTCTTTATTGATTAAGGTATTACATATGTGTCCTTATCCCTCCATTGCCCTCCTATGCCCTCACCTGCTGGTGTCTGTGACCATTGGTTAGGCTTATCTTATGCATACAAGTCCTTTGGTTGATCCCTTCTCCTTACTCCCACCCTCCCCTACCTTCCCACAGAGGTTTGACAGTCTGATCGATGCTTCTCTGTCTCTGGGATCTGTTTTTGTTCTTCAGTTTATGTTGTTCATTATATTCCACAAATGAATGAGATTATGTGATATTTTTCTTTCTCTGACTGGCTTATTTTGCTTAGCATAATGCTCTCCAGTCCAAACCATGCTGTTGCAAATGATAAGAATTCCTTCCTTTTTCCTCAAAAAACTAAAACTGAAACTCCCATTTGATTCAGTGATCCCATTTCTATGAATATATCCCAAGAAACTAGAAACACCAATCAAAAAGGATATATGCACCCCTATGTTCATAGCAGCACAACTTAACCATAGCAAAGATTTTAAAACAGCCTAAGGGCCTAACAGCAGATGAATGGATAAAAACAAAACAAAAAACAAAACAAAACTGTGGTACATCTATGCAATGGAATACTACACTGCGGTAAGAAGGTATGGTGCTTTTGAACAGAATTTCTTGCTCATATCCTAATCTGCCACTTGATGTATATATGAACTTGAAAGTTACTCTAAACCTCAACTTCTTTAGATTTAATTTCTCTAGAAGCAGACAAGGATTTGAGTAGAAGTAATTTATTTGGCAGGTGATTCCAGAAAGTGAACAAGTGGAAAATTGAAAAGAAAAAAAAAAGGGGGGGGGGAGGTAATAAAGAGATAAAAAGGGGTTTTATTATTCTGGGCAACTGAGAGACTCAATCACACAGGTACCCCAGAAGTGACTGTTTAGAATGTAACTTAATTTTTTTTTTTTTCACTGAAAGGAGAGAAAGCTGGTGCATTTATCCATCAACATCTATACTTTATTGGTTAAGGGTCACTTCTGGGGTGTCAGTATGTTAGGTTATGCACATTTTGTAGAGATGACTTGGGCAGCAAGATGCTGGAAATCAGTGGTGCCTAAGGAAACAGTCTGCTCATGATCTCAAGGATGAGTCAAGGTGATATTGGAAGGTATGCTACAGGATGATATGATGTTACTAACTTATATAGGTGTGCTGTAGAGATTAAGGAGATAATGCATATAATGTTTAGCAAAGTATCTGATACATGTAAACACTAAAAAATAATTATTAAGAATATTATTCACATCTTCATGGCCATTATACTAACAAATGAGAATAGTAGCACAATAAAATGTGTTAAAAAAAACAACACTTATTGCTAAGTGTTTAGAGAGAACTGGAGAGACACTGAGAGCCAATATTCAGGGAAGATTCCTCCTGCAGAACCAATTTTTGCAAGATAAACTTTGAAGAATGCATATGATTTCTATAGGCCAAATAGTTGCATATTGTAGGTGCAATAAAAGATATAGCATTTATAAAATGTTAGGTGACTTTTAAGTTCAGAATGAATTAGAGGCTATTATTAAATCATTCATTCATTCATTCATTCACTCATGAACAAAAATGTTGAACACTGTCAATATCCCAGACAATAACAGAGACTGGGATTTTAAACATAATAAATAAAAAAGTCAAGATTCAAAATTTATCTAAAACATATAAATACATATAAACCTTTATATGTATACACAAATATAAAATGCTTATGTAGCTAAAATTAAGTGAAGTAACCAATAATTGTAGATGTCTCTAGAGAAAGCAACTTTGGACAAAGGTAGTAGGAACACTAATTTTTTTTTTTTACCTTGTACCTTTGAATTTTAAACCATATGCTTTATGTGTTGCCTATTCAAAAAAACAGTATATTTACCGTGAAAGAGATTTGCAGCAGACACCCTATCTTGTATGTCATGAGAAAAGAGGAATTCCAGCTACTTCTTGATGGCCAGCTGGACAAGCGCTGGAAATCAATTCCATGGGCTTCCCCCAACACCCTCCTTTGAAACATTTGTCATGTGTTTTTTTAGTCTACCATCAGCAGGCCGAATCAAATTCACTCAATTAAGTTTTGCTCCAATCAGCCCCTAAACCCAGAGTACAAATTATGGCGTTGACATTTGCATCTCACATGGGAGGAACTGGGTCTTTTACGCCCCCCCCCCCCCCCCCCGCCACTACCCCCTCCTTAAAGTGCCAATCACTCTCTTCCTGTGGGGAGAAGCCAGACCTAAAGACCCACAGTGGAAGGCCTGGAATGATAGGTTGTTTAGAAGCCATGGGAGCAAATTAAATAATCCAAAAGTAATGTTTAATTCTCTCACACTCTGCAGAAGTATATACTGACTTGTGCTATATGTTGGACTTTGCTCTAGGTGCAGAGGCAAGAAGTTCATTACATGCAGTCCCCATTCTTGAAGATCAGTCATGAACATATGGGAGTTCCCAACTAGATCCAGAGGGGGGTGTCCTCCTGTTGACTCTCACCTCACCAACTTTTCACAGTTTTGGATTAGTCACTTTCAAACTCTCGCTCTTTCCATTTTAAAACTTTGGCTGAGAAGTTGCTTAGAAAATGCAAATGCATAGCATTGGCAAAGTACTCAAACATCTCGAAAGAGCTTTTTATGCGCTTTCAGAAGCCATTTTTCAGTCGACTGCTGACATGTTTATTGACTTTCTACTATGTGCCAGGTGACATAGTTCTACCATATGGCAGGTCCTAGCGTGAGGTGACAGGAGGTGTTAAAAAATAAATAAGGTATAGCCTCTAGCTCTTGGACATTATATTTTAATTAAAGAAATTCATGAATATCAATAACACTAAAATATAGCATATGATGATTACCAAGTTAATGGTACACAGATACTATGTCCTACCAGAGTTGAAAGATTAAAGATCTTAGGTTTTGGAAATGGTTCGCTAACAATAGGACAAAAATAGTTGGAGATGATTTATCAAAAGAACTGGGAGGGTTGGAACAGATGCCGGGATGGAGAAGGCTCGGAGGATAAATGGAGAAAGAGGAATTGGAGACAAAGAGAATAAGCAACATTATATTTTGTCCTATTTTGTCAAATTTTCCCATTGTTCAAATAGCTACAATAGTTATCTTTTGTTAGTAATTTATCTGATATACCTTTTCTCATCCGTCTACTTATACTTCAACCCTTCCAGGGACTTATGCTTTAGTGGTGCCTTGCACATGTCATGTGTTTAAATCTTTAAAAAGTATAATATGAAGACAAGTCCATCCACTTGAGATAAATATATTTACTTTTTCAACTATATCACATTGGTTTTTAAACAACTTAATTTGTACTTTCTCTTCACCTTGATTTATTATTTTGCTTTTATCATTTAAAATATTAGGAAATATAGCATCTAAAAGTATTTTATAAGAGTATATAAAAACAACAATAAGCATCCATGGAACATTCAGCAAAAACCCTTGTGTGTACCATATAAATTGTATTTGCCTCCTTCTCCGATGAAGAACCCATAACTTGAATTTTTGTAATAATCCTTCCCCTTTATATACCTAGTTTTTACCACTTACGTAGACATCCTCATGCTATATATTGCATATTTTTTTCTGCTTATTATGGCATATACTATGGTATTTCGTTCTGCATATTTTAGTGACTTGATTCTCTTATTAATTTTCTTAGCATTTTTATAACCGTTTATGAATGAAAGGCCATTCCTTTAAAAGTACCCTAAGCTTCTGAAGAAAGCTTTTAAAGGATTCACCAAATTGCCTGATCTGTGTGCTTTAAGGAAGGATTATAGTGTGTTTGGGTGGTTAATTCTTCCTGCAAATATGCTGCAAAACAAAGCTAAAAAAAAGTCCTGTATTTGGTAGATTCTGTTTATATTTAGAACTTGTCCTCGATATGTAATCGCATTTCAATTCCAAAGAGAAATTAGCTGGCGCCTTTTAAAGCTTGGATAGCTGCATGAATAGTCCCCTGCCTGGGAAAGAGTAGCTCCTCTTACCCAGCTATCTGCTTGCAAACACGCGCTTTGTTGAATACCAGTTCTGGAATCTCCAAAGGAGAAAGGTGACATTTACTTTAGAATTATGCAAAACAAAGCCACTGCCATAATGATTATGAGCTCATCATGGATGTATCACTATCCATACTTTCTGTAAGAGTATTTAACCTTTTAAGGAACCAATTATGCATATGTGATGCGCATCTAAATGCTACACAGCCTTTTTCTACTTGTTTCCAGGTATATTCAGTTTTGAAGTGCCAATAAGCAGCGTGATCTAAATGTGTTTACATTTTAGGCAGCTTATTTCTCTCAATGCTTTCTTGGCAGAAAGCTTTCAGAGATGAGCAGAGGGAGTCTCAAGGATGGTGGAGTCCCAGGTCAGTGGGTCTGACTTCCTCATATAGAGCATTTCCTCATTCAAATGAAGCTGCCCTGGCCACTGTTGAATTCTCAGGTAACAAAGGGGAATAAGGGTTGGAATGCAAAGGTATAGAAGGAAAAAATAATGAGAAGATGAGGAGGAGCAAATATCCCTCCGTTGCAAACCCCTTACATCCTTGTACTTGCCCCCACTTTTCAGTTGGGAACACTGAGACCCAGACAACTTCAGTGTCCTGCCCAAGGTCTGAAGCTTGGAATTAAAACCAAGTCTATGTGACAGAGTATGCTTATTACAACAT